CCATTTTATTCTCCCATTCAAAAAATTCCTACAAAAAAAAAAAAAAAAACACCACAACAAAACAACAGAAACAGGCAAGTTAGCTGAAATTACAGTAAGTCAAAATACAAAAATGGTAGGTTTTGAAGTTGGACTTACCCTGTCTTCATCCAAAATCGGACAATCATATTCATCATCAAAACCTTCATACAGTTCTCCTGTGGCAAAAATAATTTGTGGAAGTTTGTGAAGTAACAGCAGTTATTAAAATTATTTATATTATATTTATTTCAGGAGGATGCAAACAAAAAATAGTGTTCACAGCTAGGCACATTTTGTTTATATATCCATGTAAGTTTATTATTTATTACTTAATACAAAGTATGATACTGTTACATAAATGCCTTTTTAACCCATGCCACCAAAACCATTTCTGTTAAAGTGAATTCACTGCCTTTTCATTTAATATTAATACATGCACTACAAGTGCATAGTTATACAAAGCAAAAATACCTTAAGTACTTTCATGGACTACTTTGTTAATATGGCCTACCTTCTTTTGCCATGTCACCCACATTAATATAGGTCATCCCGGCTCTTGATGCAAGTTCTTTTCCGAGTGTGGTTTTCCCAACACCCGGAGTACCTAAGGCCAAAACACCACATAAAACGGTAAGACAAAAGCATGCAAGTCCTCTTCAAATAACCTAAGGAGTCAAAAAGGAAGCTTTTGTCAGTCAACGCTGGCAAGTTCGTATAAGAAACACGGGGCAAAAAAGCTGCTTGATAAGGAAAAACAAATAAGACCAATGTCTAGAGATTAAAAAAACCTCACAAACCTACGAAGAAAACTCTGACTTTGTGCAGAAGTGTTATTCTAACCAGGCTGATACAAAAGTAAACCTTGTTTCATTTAAAAGCCCTAGCTAATATGGAAAAGCCCCAAGTTTTCATGCAGAGCAGCCTGGTACCTCCTCCGCAGGGCTCTCACACCCCAAATCACTCCTGGCTGATCAACAGGGCTGGGGCCTCCCCCTGCAGGCCCAGACCGAGCCTCACCGCGCTCCCCGCCG